TATATATGTGTGTATGTGTGTGTATATATATATACACACATTGTCTATGAATGCAAATTATAACCAAATTTTATTTTCATAGGGGTCTGTAATAAGATTGTGGTGTGGGAGATTTTTAAAAAATAGAATCAAGGGACACCTGGGAGGCTCAGTCAAAGTGTCTGCCCTCAGCTTAGGTCATGATATCAGGGTCTTGGGATTGAGCCCCACACCGGGCTCCCTGCTCAGTGAGGGGTCTGCTTCTCCCTCTCCCTCTGTCCCTCCCACCTGCCCATACTTTCTCTCTCTTTCTCAAATAAATAAATAAATAAAATCTTTAAAAAAATAAAAATAGAATCAAGCTCTGAGTCCTAAGAAAATAGCATAGGAATCAAGAAGGAACTCTAAAAAGCTTAAATTCCCACCATGGGGTGGAGGCTTTGTCTTTTTTAGTTCCTACTCATTGCCTGTAGAGTACACTGTTCTCTTTAAAAAGCTAAAAACTCGAGTGTAAACCACCCCCCTTGCCTTTGGTTCCTAAACAAAAAGTTGCTTATGCTCTCCTGCCTCTTTTGCCTCAAATATAGAATGTGCCTTAGAGGAGAAGCAACAAGACCTAGCTTCAAGTCTTGACTTTACCATTAGTATACTGGGATACTAGGCAACTCCAACTCTTGGCCTCATTTTTTTCATTTATCAAGTGAGGATAAATACCTTAAAAAATACCTTAAAAAATGTCTGTTCTATCTATCTCATACAGAGTCATATGAGGAGCAAATGAGATAATATTAATGAAAGTTTCTGAAAAAATTTGAAGTCTGGGAATGTAAATTGTTATTACTACTACCTTGTAATTATCACCAGAATATGGTTCAACTCTGGTTCCAGAAAGGCTAATCAGTATTAGTGAAATTACCTCAGTTATATGTAATTTCATTTACTTTTCTACAACTTTCTGTTTAATTTCTATTAGAATTACTGTATTTATTTGTTATTTATTTGGTGTGTGGTACAGATATTATTTCAGTTAAGTAAGATATTGCTACTTGTCATTTTTTAGTGGGGTTTATGGCTCAGGGAAATATTTGTTCGTTTGTTTTTATGGCCCCATCCTAATCTTTTATTAACAGAGAGTTTATTGAACATACACTATATACATATTGCCATGCCAAGTGCTTTGTGAGGATAAGACTTACCAGAAAAAATTTAGAGACTAAGACATAATAATAGCTTGCTGAACTCTATGGTTCATTGAGTAAATAGAAATGGCAGTTCAGAGAAGAAAGAACTCAAAGGAGATTTTTTTTTAGGGTAGAGTATTACTAATTACATTTTTTATTGTGCCATCATTTGTTTTTTGTTTTTGTTTTTTAAAAATTTCAGAACTTCAGAAAAGTAGGAATAATACAGTAAATATTTTGTAACCTTTGCCTAGAATCTAATTTGCCACATTTGCTTGATCTTCATATGTATACGTATACACTTAACCCACTTTTTTTTTAGCCATTTGATTTAGTTACAGAGGCCATGACAGTACACTCCTGAATACTTCAGCATGTATCTCCTGAAAACAAGATAATTCCCTGTTTAACCACACATAATAATCAAACTTTGGAAATTAAACATTGACACAATATTCTTATAGTCCATATCCAGATTTCCCAATATAATTATGATGGAGTTTGTTTTTTATCCCAAGAAGGTCTTGCATATATTTAGTTGTCTCTTTAGTCTCCATCTACAATAGTCTTTTTTTGGTCTTTCATGACATTGTCATTTATTCAGTCTAGGCCAGTGGTTGGCAAAATATGGCCCATGGGCTGACCAACTGTTTCTGTAAATAAAGTGTTTTTGAAAAATAGCTATACTCATGATGTACATTTTGCCTCTAGCTGCTTTTGCACTACAGGGGCAGAGTTGTATAGTTGCAACAGAGACTGTGTGGCCCATAAGCCTAAAATGTTTACTACCTGACTTTTAGGAAGTTTGTTGATCCCTAATCTAGGCAGTTGGTTATGTATGACCCTCTTTTTGAGTTTGCTGATTGTTTCTTTAATTATATTCAGGTTGAACTTTTTGGGGTTTTTTTTGTGTTTTTTTGGCAACAACACTACATTGGTATTGTTGTAGCCTTCTCATATACTACATCAGGAGACACATGAGGTCAGTTTGTCCTCCTCTTTGTGATGTTAAGTCATGGGGGCGTTTTGTAATAAAGGATGACTTCGTGAAAGAAATGATGTTTTAAACTAATCCTCAAGGATAGGGTAGTATTTGAATAGGTAGAAAGATTTTTCTAGTAGACATTGTCTGTAACATTCTTCTGTTCCTGCTTCTATTAATCCTAAATTAGTATTTTCATCCATTCACATGGCTGGAATGATTGATAGCTTAACAACTTATTGATCTGTTGGTAGCAGTCAGAACATTATAGGTTTTCTCCATACAGTCTCTACTTTTTATTTATTTGTTTAATTTTGCAATGGTAATTGTCTTTTATCTTACACTGTGTCCAAGAATTCTATAAGCAAGTTTTTTTTTTATTTATTTATATAGAATACTCTAAAGATTTCTGTCTTTTCTCGGAGCTTAATAAAATTTTATTTGTCTGAAAACCAGAACCCCAGAAGTATTGCATTCCAGAAGCAAATGTTGGGAATGTATATAGATTCACTTACTTTTTTTTTTTTTTTAAAGTAGCTGAATAGATCATTTAAATGAAGTACTAGTTTATTTAGATACCATCATTTATGTCATTGTGGAAACATTAGTTGCTGAAATAAATGGATTGAAAAAAGTGCATATTATAGTAATAGATGTAATATATGTAATAATGTTGGCAATATTAGCAAATGGTCCAAAATTGCTTCCATATGGTTCCTTTATATTGTTAATACAAAAAGAACAGCTTCCAACTGGATGTCAAAACCAAAGATGAACATGTTTATAGAATTATCATAGTCATAATTGAATGTCATTCATAATAGTGGAATTATATGTGCTGTCAAGGAAAGGATAAATGTTAAGTATTCAAGGGCGTCTTATTCCACGAGTGAAGAATTCCATCAAAGAAATGATCTTTTAAAAATGTCACAAGCAAAAATCTAAGAGTTAATGAGTTATTTAAAGGTAAAAATGAGGCCTTTTATTTTGAAATGAAGCCTTTTATTATGCTAGAAATCATTTTCTAATTTTTATTTTTTTTATTTAAAAAAACTTTTTTTTTAAAGATTTTATTTATTTGATAGAGAGACAGTCAGAGCAGGAACACAAGCAGGGGGAGTGGGAGAGGGAGAAGCAGGCTTCCCAGGGAGCAGTGAGCCCAATGTGGGGCTTGATCCCAGGAGCCTGGGATCATGACCTGAGCCGAAGGCAGACGCTTAATGACTGAGCCACCCAGGCTCCCCTCATTTTCTAATTTTTAAAGAGAAAGAAACCTAGTCCAACATCATTGCTTTGTTATTGGATTTTGGTAGCATTTGGATTGTATTTAAGAACTTGAGAAACTATATTTTTCAACTTCAGATAAATTATCAAAATAAAATTTCTGTTCTTACAGAGCAAAGGACTACTAGAACATAGTTATCACTCTTTTTTTTTTTTAAGATTTTATTTATTTATTCGACAGAGAGACACAGTGAGAGAGAGAGGGAACACAAGCAGGGGGAGTGGGAGAGGGAGAAGCAGGCTTCTAGCGAAGCACGGAGCCCGATGGAGGGCTCGATCCAGGACCCTGGGATCATGACCTGAGCCAAAGGCAGACACTTAATGACTGAGCCACCCAGGCACCCCTATCACTCCTTTTTTGAAGGATAGTTTTGCTGGATGTAGAATTCTTGGTTGGCTATATATTTTTTTCAGCATTTGAATGTCATCCTACTACCTCTGACCTTCATTATTCCTAATGAGAAATCAGCTGTTAATCATGTATAACAAGTACATTAAATAGTGATTTTATGAAACCAAACTTACTCAATATTATTTAATATTTATGGCATATGTGTGGTGTGGCAGGCATTGTACTGTGAGGAAAGACAGACATGGTCATTCTCACAGTTTATGATCAAGAGAGAAACCACGATTTGTCAAAAAAAAAAATTACATAATCATGGGTATAGTTACAAACTGTTAAGTGCCAGGAAAGAAAGTGAAAGTTATGTCTAATGGGATTGGGTGATGAATGACAGACACGTTCCTTAGAACTGATACTGGAGCTGCAAGCCGAGGGTGACTGAAGGAGTGAAATGGGAGAAGGGGGCTGAAGGAATAGCATGGAGCATTGGAAGGACTAGGGAAAGGAAACAGTGTGAATCCAGAGCCTGGTGAAGGAAAGGATGGTACAGAAATGAAGCTGGAGAAGTAAGCAGGGAATTAAAATGCTCATTTTAAGAAATCTTCATATGTTATAATTGGAATTTATCAAAAATAAGTTGGAAATAATTATATGACAAAGTTATTTTTAATACCAGATTTCTCTTTGTTATTCATAAAAAGTCATCATAGATAAATCAAGATATTTAAAGTTAATGAACTATAGTTCTTAATTCAAGATTAATCAGAAATTAAAACAAGACATCTCCAAAATAATCATGTTGTGAAAATGATTTGTTTCCTACTTACAGAGCTGTAGAAAACACTGTAGGTTTTCATACTTTACTTTTATTATTCCCACATTAAATACCTGTTACCACTTTTTATTTAATATATAATCCGTGACATTATTTTCCTTCTCTTACTGTTGCCCAAGAAAAATAAAGACAATATTGTTTTGGGTATTGGAAGTTTATATCAGGAATGAATGCTACCTTACTGTAGAAGTGTCGTACATACGTAAAACCTTCCATTGTTTTTGTGTTTTTTGAGGGAGGAAGCAGTAAATTTAAATTCATGCATAATAGCACTCAAAAAGCAACTAACCAACAAATGAGGCTCTATTTATTAAAAAAAATAGTTTCTTTATTTACCATCTTGAGTCATTAAAATATTTTTATTATAATTGTAGTTGTTTATTTTCATTTCAGGTGGAGGACTGTGACGCCAATTGGACATCCTCTACCTGGAACACGATTTATTGCTTTTAAAGTTCCTTTAAAGGGAGTATGTATATTATTTTCTCATCTATTTTATAAGGAGAATAGGGACTAATGTGATCCATGTTTACTTAATGTTATGCTGTTTTTCATGAAAATATGTGAAATTTCCAGCAAACGTTTGACATTATGGAAGTAACAGTAAACTTTTTCACACATGTAATTATTAATTGTTCATGCTAGTGTAAGGGAGTAGTTTTGGATTAATTTTTTAATAACAGCTTTATTGGTATGTAATTCACCTATTCACATTCACCTATTTAAAGTATACAGTGGCTTTTAGTATATTCAGGGAGTTAGGCAGCTGTCACTACAAATTTAGAACGTTTTCATCACCCTCACTTCCTCCCAAAAACCCATGGACAGTAGCAGTCACTCCCCTTTATCCCTCATTCCCACCCCCCACCTCCTAGACAACCAATAATCTCCTTTCTGCCTTCATAGATTTGACTGTTCTGGACATTTCATATAGATGGAATGATATAATATTGTGACTGGCTTCTTTAGCATAATGTTTTCAAGGTTTACCCATGTTGTAGTGTGTATCATACTTCATTTCTTTCTATTGCCAAGTTGAATTTTTTAACGGTTCAACTTACTTTATTAAAAGCATTTAACAAGATTAAATACTTTTTGAAAGAAAGTATCTTGAATCCTAATGTTATTTCTGCTTTTTATATTTTGACCTATTTAAAAGTTCTATAATGCTCTGGTTCAAAGATAAAGATAGATAACTTTTGAGTACCCCCCCCCGCAAAAATCAGCATTCCTTTACTAATTTGTCAAATCCTTTGCATAGCATTTCCTAAAAAAATCAAAAGATACTTGAAACCCATGCCATGTTTTATATGGCCTCAGATCCATGACAGCTTTAGTTTCTCCTACTTGCTCTGACATTGGGAATGTGTGAGCACATAGTTCAGAATCTTTTATACTGGCCTCCTAATTTAACTCAGATTTTTCTCTTTCACAAGTCTTTAAGTTACTTCCTTAATATATTGAGAAGTAACTTTAAGTTACTTTTTAAATATGCTTAATATAATTAATACTTTAATTCACATACCATAAAATTCACCTTTTTAAAGTATATAATTTAGTAGTTTTTTTAATATATTCACAGAGTTGTGTAATCAATGACATTAATTCCAGATCATTTTCATCCCCTCAAAAAGAAGCCCTGTGACCATTGGTAGTCATTCCCCATTTCCCCTCCCCCTGGCCCCTGGCAACCACTAATCTACTTTCTGTGTAGATTTGCCTATTCTGGACATTTCATATAGTGGAATCATAAAGTCTGCGGCCTTTTGTGACTAGCTACTTTAACTTAGATGTTTTCAAGATTCATTCATGTTGTAGCATACAGTTCATTTCTTTTTATTTCCAAATTGATTGCGTATAACACCCAGTGCTATATTGAATTAATTTTTTAAAATTGTTTATATTTGGCTCTGTAATACATTATGTTAACTAATTGTTTTTATTAATCATATAATACAAAAATCAAATCTGTTGTACAATCAGCACACACCACTGAGAGCAATAACAAATACAGCAGTCTAGAAGAATGCTGGTAAGTTTATAGACATTGACCAAAACTATAGATTTATCTCCAGACAATCCATATATAACATCTGATAACATTTTAAAAATTCTACACTCTGTTTAATATAAACATGGAAACTTAGAACCTTTATATCTGGGAGAAAAACGAACATTTAATCAAACGAGTCAGACTGGTATCATGAGCTGGATAAGGTAAAAATTTCTGGTTAAAATCTTGACTGCCATCTAGACTGTAACGTTGGACAAGTAATTTAACTTTTCAAAGCCTCAGTTCAAATGAGAACTCTACTACAAAATTATTTTTCACTTGTGGTTAATACTTTATTCAAACTGAATTTGGTGCAAGAAAATTCCAGTGGATCCAAGCAGGACAATCCATTTTTGAAGTGTTCTGAGTCCTTGGTGACAGGACATATGTAAAATCACTGAAGCAAATGATGTAAATATGTTTAGGCTCTTTTCACAGCTCCGATTCATTATGAGCTTTGCCAGTGTTCTTAAAGTTATGACAGTTTTCACTGATTCTTTTTGTCTTATGTTTTTTCTCTTCCTTGTTTGTTTTATGTTAAGTACATTTTACCTGTATTTCATAACCTTACTGTTCATTTTTCATTATAGGCAGTTAATCAGAGACTTACTCCAACCCAGAAGTTTACACCAAAGGATTTGGTTAGTGCAATAAAAGCATTAAATGTGGAGCTTGGATTAATTATCGATCTAACATACACCACAAGATATTATGAAGTTAAGGTAAAGTTACAGATGTATTTTGTTATCATAGGTATGTCTTGAAATAGAAAAGATTTTTTAATCCTGCATTTAGAAAGTAACTCTCGTGGTTATTTTAATATAAATTTCAGAATTTCCCATGTGTAATTTCTTAGAAATCTTCTTAATTCTTCACATAATCATATAATACCTTTTTTTCTAAAATCATGGATTGTGCAGAGAGGAAAAAAAATGGAATGTTTTTCTTCTGAGAGAACAAGTATATAGAATAAATGATTGTAGATAGAAATAAAAAAAGAAAAGCACCAAGGGAGTAAGGAAACAGAGGGAAAAAGTAGCATGATGGAAAAGAAAGCAACAGAAAAAAGATAAAAGAAAAAACATGAGATGCATATTACTGTACAACAGCGTTTTTTTGAACTTTTTTTTGCAGCAAAATCTTCAATTAATTCTTGCTCTGAAGCCCATTATATAAAGCAGATAAACAGGGAATTGTGCTGCTGAGGCAGGATATTAGGATCCATTAGGCCTCCTCATCCTCCAGTCCTACCCTCCCTGTCCTGAGTCTTAGCAACATGACTTACTTACCTAAGGGCTGTGGAGAGCAAGAGAATTTTAAAACCTTGTTCTAGAGGAGAATAACTCTTGAGCCTTGCTATTTAATTGGATTAGTGCCATCAAAGATGTCATCTGTCATTCCTGCCCTGATTAGGTGACATTTAGTCTTGGATATCTTGCTGCCCTGTCAAATTTCAACATACATATAACTAAACACACCATCATTTCTTCCCTTTTTTTTTTAAGATTTATTTATTTATTTATTTGACAGAGAGAGAGAGACAGTGAGAGAGGGAACACAAGCAGGGGGAGTGGGAGAGGGAGAAGCAGGCCTCCCGCTGAACAGGGAGCCCGACGCGGGGCTCGATCCCAGGACCCTGGGATCATGACCCGAGTCGAAGGCAGACGCTTAATGACTGAGCCACCCAGGCACCCCACACCATCATTTCTTTACTTCCACACCACTCCTTCCCAAAAATACAAATTCGCAATCTCTTCAGCTTTCCTGTTTCTCCTGAAAGCACCACTACTGAGCCTATCAGTCAGGTTCAAATCACCTGAGTCCTCTGTCTTCTGGGTACCCTACATCAGGTCAAGGACTAAACCCTGTAGATTTTTTTTTTCTTAAATGTGTCTCATATTCTCCATATCTTTTACCTCATTATTCAGTAGCTAGCCTTTTTTATCCTTCTTTGACCAGTTGTGCCTAAACATAATTTTCATGCCCATTCCATGTCCTTCCTAAAAAAACATCTCAGTTCTCTCTGCCCTCCCCACTGTTTGAATACATCACATCTAAACTCCTCTCTCTGTTTTTCAAGGCCCAATTTAATCTGACCCCCTTCTCATCATGCTCTTCTGTTTCTTACACAAACCATCTCTTCACTATCTCGTGAACATTCTTGATTCTGTGCCTCAAGTTATTCCAGATACTTGGAATTTTTTTTCTTTCCCTCCCTGTCCAAAACTCTACCTATTCTTCAAGGCCTAACATTTACAGCTTCTCCTGGACTGTTATCCATATTTTTTGACATATAACTGTTCAAAGGTCATTATCCTTATTTTTCCAAAACTATTATCTGCTCCTAGGATCTGCCCATGTGCATTTATACTCATCACCAACCTTGATATTCTTTAGATGAATATTGTTAGTTGATTAATTGATTTTACTTAAATGATGAAATTAGCCCTTCTCTTTTTAGGGTCTCCACTTTAGACTCCCTTGCAAACTTAAGAATGAGTCAGGGAAATATTAAAACAGGCTTACTACATAGCCTAAGCTGATATCCAGAATCGTAACACTAACTATGGAGTTAACACTTTTTTTTTTTTTTAAGATTTTTTATTTATTCATTTGAGAGCGGGAGAGAGACAGCACAAGCAGAGGGAGAGGCAGAGGGAGAGGGAGAAGCAGACTCCCCACTGAGGAGGGAGCCTGACATGGGGCTCAATCCCAGGACCTGGAGATCATGACCTGAGCCAAAGGCAGATGCCTAACCATCTGAGCCACCCAGGCGCCCCTGGAGTTTACACTTTAAGCTTGTATATTAGGTTGAACCTGTGTCTGCTTAATCATTTGAATCCTTAACTCATGACTGTCATTGGCCAGTAGGAATTGGGCTTCTTTTATAGCCTCTTTTCGTGTAGACTACAAAAGAGTTCCACAAAAATAGGGGTGCCTGGATAGCTCAGTCGGTTGAGCTTCCAACTCCTGATTTCAGCTCAGGTCACCATCTCAAGGTCATGAGCTTGAGCCCCATGTCAGACTCCATGTTTAGCGGGGAGTCTGCTTGAGATTCTCTTTCTCCCTCTGCCTGTGCCCCCACTTGCGCACAAGCGCTCACCCTCTCTCTCTTTTTCTCTCTCAGAATAAATAAATAAAATCTTTAATAAAAAAACAAGAGAGTTCTACACAAATTGATCTAAAGTGTGCCTTCAGTAAAATCATTGTGCCTGATTTAAAAAATACGGAATGATAAGTTTCATTAGGTTGAAGAATTTGTTTTTAATAACTTATAATTGTTGTATTCTATATCCTTTGTTTCTAGGATTTACCTAAAAGTATTCATTATAAAAAACTTTATACTGTTGGACTTGAAGTCCCTGACAATGCTACTATTCTGCAGTTCAAAAAGTGGGTCAGAAAGTTCCTGTGGGAAAATGCAGAAAATGGTAATTAATAACCTTTAATGTAATCAAAATGTTTTTATTTAATTGACAAAGATTATTTTAATAGAAACTATTGTAGACCACTTAAAGATGATATAATATACATATTTCACTTAAATACTTCTAGTTAAAAGGACATTATCAAAGATTTCCCTTTAGATTGCAATGTATGCATGCCCCTCACTTAAAGAAAACTTGGTTTGGAGAAAGTAAAGCATACAGAAAAGGTACATTGGAGGATGATTCTTTGCTTTACAAATGGATTCCCTACAGCATTCCTTAAATGCTGACACTCTCAGGACAGATAAAAATATAACTCAGTATTTTAAAATTGACTTAGAAATAACTTTTCTTGAAAGAATATGTAGCATAAAGTAAGGTACATCTTAGTCTTTTTGGTGTACAGTTTGGCTTCATATAGAAAAGAAAGATAAAACTTAAAGTCTTTTGGAAAACTTTTAACTCCATGAATGTATTTTGGGGAATGTCTTCCCTAAATAAACAGAAGTATATGTAAACATGTGAACAAGAATGTTCAGTGATATGTTTATAATATTGAAATATTGGAAGACACCTAAAGGATCATTAACATGAAATTGATTAAATTATGGCATTTACATACACATGGAATAATAGGCAGTTGTTAAAAACCAAGTAAAAGAAAAATATTCAGTGATTTGGCAAAATGCTTGTGAGATATTTTTAAATGACAATGTCACGGTATAATTATATTTATAAATAACATGAACAAACATATCCAAAAGGATAAACATCACAATGTTAATAGTGGCATCTGATTGTGATTTTTGTCTTCATATTTATACTTCCTATGTTTCAGGTGTTTTTTTATAATGGAAATGTATTTCATAGTTTTAAAAGGTTGCTTTAAAAAAACAAAGTGTTATCCAAGTGTTCTTAATGCTTAGTGGTCAAGGACTTATCTTTAACTCTGGTAGAGGCTTCCTCGTAGACTGGAAGACCTCAGAGGTGATCCAGCCACATGAGCATCTTCACTCTAGTGATTTCCTGTTTGTCTGGGTCATAAGAGCTACTAAGCTTCAAAATTCGTAAACTAGAGTGTACCTAGGATTAGTCTCAGTGGCTCGTAGATGCTACTTATGGATAGCATGGCTATAGCGTAGATTTCTCTGATGACACCTACACCCTTCAGATTTCTCATTCTCTTACTCCCACTAGATCTAATTCTCTCTGGACTCCTTCCTTTCTCTCCCTGCCTATTAGTCCTTCTGGTTTCTTTTATGTTCCTTACCCTGCCTGGCCCACTGGCTGATAAAATCAACTCTGTTTTCCCAACACTTCTAGTTTTCTTAACTTCTCTCTTCTCATTGTCCTTTCCTTGTAGCTGAGCTAAGTAATTACAATAAATACCAATTTTCCTTTACTTTCCTGCATCTGTCTTCTGAATTAAGCAAATCTTTTACACCCAGAAATATAAAAAGGACAAGAAACCCATTTTGGGGGTAAATGAACAGAAAGAAAAGAATGAGGTTGGTATTGCCTACCTAGTTTCCTGGACTTAGGGAAGAATTTCAGGAGACAAGGCCTACTTCTTCTTGGGAAGTGGCTTATTTGTGATGCGTTGCTCACGGCTCCCCTTGAACCAGCTGTACAGTAAGAGCCTGAGAAGTAGAACTGATTTCAGGGCTTCAGGCTGATGGGAGTGGTTACAGTGCCAGCTGCGCACAGCAGCCTTAATCTGAACCTCCAGGTTCTACTTCTTACTGCGTCTGTCCCAACAAATCAAAAACAGCTTCATAAGCTTATTTTCCCCAAAGACTAGGCAGAGGGGAGAGGGGCTAATTGCTATTAGTTAAACTGTTTATCTTAGGAAGGCAGATTTAATGAATCTAGATACTACTGAGCAGTGTAAAGTTACATTTTAGTCTGTGGTACCAAAAGTTTGTGATGCTTTGGGTCCTAGAACATTGATATGATCTTAAGTTCTTGATTTTAAAAGCCAAGTGGAGAAAAAAAATCTGTAAAAAGATTTCATATATAGACTGAAAAGATACTATTAAATAACAAAAATTCAACTGAGTAAATTAAAGAGCAAATTGGCCTTATTCAATGATTCATGAAATGGGCAGCATCCCATCTAGCAAATAGAAAGGAGCTCCATCCAGAAAAGGAGAGGTTTTTAAATGCAGAGAGGAAATTATTAGCAAAGAACACATGGTTTTAGGTAAGGCCACCCTCGTATAGGGAACGCAAAGGGTCTATCAGATTATCTCCTTGTGCTGCCCAGGAAATTCCAAGTTGACTGGTGAAAAGTCACATTTCTTGGAGAAGCTGAAGCTGCATTTAGGCTAGGTATTAAATCTTGGTGGGGTTTAGCATAAGTGATTCCAGTTTAGGCCTGCTGTCTCCTTTTTAACAGTACACATCCCTTTTTTATCTTTATTCCAAAAGTTAGTCGCCAGTAGATCTTTAAGAAATATTCTCTAAATTCTAATGCAAAAATACTCAACCCTAGTTTAATTCAACAGTCCTTCCCTTCTCCGCATGTTAGAGAAAATACCTCCACAGTGTTGGCTGGGTGCCACCATGGGTCAATGGTTAAGGGTTTCAGCTGGGTTCTTACTGCTGCTTGACAGTCCTCTCCCTGTCCCCAGCCAGCTCGCTCATCTGTTTTTGAATCTTGCCTACATCACACTCCTTCCTCAACTCAGGTGGCATATCTCCCCGATTCTCAGAGGTCCCTTTCTTACTCTCACCTGTATCCATACTCGCATATTCTTCCTTCTGCTTTCCTAGGAATAGGAAATCCTGCCTCCAATCCTGCCTTCTTCAGGACATTTTCTTCATTTATTCTCAACTCTGTAATACCAACATATAAACAAGCACGGGCCTCTCCTGTATCTTAAAATCATCCTCTCTTCTCCATCTTGCAACTTTAATTCTTTCTTTCGTTCTCTGTTTCCTTCCTTTGCTGATTACACTTTTAGAAGAGTTGTCCCCATTCATTTTGTCCATTCCGTTACTGTTCACTAAAGAGATTTTTATTGACCACCCATAATCTGATTTCTACAGCTTTCTAATTGTAGTTCAATTGGAAGATTGTAGAAATTCAAAGAATAGTTTTCCATCCCTATCTTGCTTCAATCTCTGTAAGCTTAACTTCTGCTGTTCATTCCTTCCTTAAAATTTTCCTTTTGGCTTCTATGATATTGTTTTCCTCATTTTTTTTTCTACCTAAGTGTTTTTCAGTTTTCTAGTTAATAATTTCCTTTTTCAAGTTTTCTTTGCTAATAACCCACCTCCCCTCCCCTCCTCCCCCCCCCTTCCTCTCTGCCTTTTGTTCTACTCAAATCCTTGATGCCTACTGTTCTTAAGAATCTGTCCTGCTTTTGGCAACTGCAAAGCTGGGGAGATCCTGGATGTCAGATCTCATTGTCCTCCCAGTCCTTCCACTCCTTCCCCAATCCCCTCAGTAAAATGGTTTCTTAAAAAAAAAAAGAAGTCTTTCACTTCACTTTTCTTCATCTTTTCCTATTTTCAACTTTGGCCCCCTAAATCTGTATCTCTAGCACAGACCTTTCTCCTGAGCTCCATGTCACTGTTCACATGTACCTTGTATCCACCAAGGGGTTCATCTGGCACCAAAAAACTGAACTCTTAATCTTCCTTCTTCTGCCCCTACCTCCCCACATCTACTCTCACCCTCTCTGATCTGGGTTATTATGATGGCCTCCTGCATAGATTTCTCCCACTGGTCATTCCTCCAGACGTCCATGAATTTATCTTTCTAAAATGCACATCTGGGGCACCTGGGTGGCTCAGTCGGTTAAGTGACTGCCTTGAGCTCAGGTCATGATCTCGGGGTCCTGGGATCGAGCCCCACGTGGGTCTCCCTGCTCAGCGGGCAGCCTGCTTCTCCCTCTCCCTCTGTAGCTTCCTCTCCTTGTGCTTTCTCTCTCTCTCTCTCAAATGAATAAATAAAAATAAAATAAAAGTAAAATGCACATCTGATTAGGTCATTTTCTTCCTTAAAAGCCTTCAGTGGTATCCCATCTAATAAGCACCAGATTCCTTAACATGATGCTTCATGACCTGATTATTGGCTTCCTTTCTAAAAACCTCTTTTTTATATAAGTTTATTTTTTTTTGTAATCTCTGCACCCAACATGGTGCTCAAACTCATGACTCTGAGATCATAAGTTGCACAGTCTTCTGACTGAGCCAGTCAGTGCCCCTCTAAAAGCCTCCTACATTTTTTTCACATATGTTTCACATGTCTATTTCCCACACAAGTGCTATCCTCCTAGCATTTGCACACTCAACTCTCTTCTTGAAATGTTTTCCCATCTTGTTTTTGATGAACTTCCTCTCATTTCTCAAGATTATCTCAGTGTTTCTTTCAAACTACTCTGAAACCTCCTCTGCCCCAATGTAAATTTAAGGGCTCTTTCTTACGTACTCTCATAACACATTGGTGTGCATTCATCATGTATTATGATAAATGCTTTGTTTACTTATGGCTCTTCCCCTACTAGACTCTGAACTCTGAGGTGCCAGATAGATTCAGCTGGAATTACCTCAGCTATCATTGCTCAAATGAAAACCTCACCCTTGTGTGAGTGTGTGTGTGTGTGTGTGTGTGTGTGTAAAGCCATATGGAGATATTTGAAAAAAATATGTACATATCAGGAAAATTGTTTCAGATAGCGATCATTCTTCTAATATAAAAAGGCCATAAATTAGTTCTATTATTTACAAAAATGAATTCCATTTCATTCAAGCTACAAAATAATGAAAACAGGTTTCTAAAATCTCTTATTGTAACTGATTCTAAATATGTTCACCCAGAAATTTATGGTATTTGAAAATAATTTAAAGACTTGGAAATGTGGCTTTTAACTCAGTGTCAGTTGAAAACAATGTTCTAACAAACACTAAATGAATGCTTCCTGAATCTTCCTTCACACATGGTCCTGAAGAGAGGTGGCAAATCAGCTCTTTTGAGAAGTTCTGGCGATTGACAGGATAGGAAAGGTGAATGTAAGGTAAATACAAGTGAAGAAAAAAACATCTAGAGCATGAATCTTACTGAAAAATTTCCTCAGAATTGATACCCAATTTGAATATGACTCTCAAAATCCATCTTCTCTAGGGAAGTACTCAAACTTTAACCTCACGGTAGGGAAATTCTTTAAGATAGGTCATTTCCACCATGCAGAAAAATGTTCCTGGCCCATCCACAAAGGTCAGTAGATTCATCTTACTTTTAATTCTTCAACTGTGGTTTCAGATAATGTGCCTTACAGTAGAAATGGTGTCATAGGTATTTCTATTAATCAGAAAGTCTTAGTACATTTCATTGAATGCAGAGGCAATTAATTAAGATCAAAGAAGTAAGTTTAAAATTATTTCTTTCTGAATAATGTTTGAAACATTATTCATGATCATGATATAAACTTTGTCCTTCATTTGATTATCCTTAAAAATTCACCTTTTAATATGACAGGGTCAACACGGAAAGCCTGTGTCTTTCCTGAATCTTTCATAGCGTCCCTTTAACATAGTAGATTTAAATTTAATGACTAAGAATCCTACTAGTGGTAGAATTTTTATTTAAAATTATATTATAAATTGTTTATAAAACATGTTATTTTATTATGCTTTTCTCATCTTAATTTTTTTCATACTTTTTAATGTTTCTTTACATTTTATAGATAAACTCATTGGAGTTCATTGTACCAATGGAATTAACAGAACAGGATACCTGATATGTAGGTAAGAATAATATAGGTGCTAAATTTTCAAGTCTGTCTTCTTGAGAAGAAGATTTTAAAATTCAGGCTTACTTATCCTGTAAAATTAAAACGATATTTTTAATTCAGGTACCTTATCGATGTTGAAGGCTGGGATCCAGATACAGCAATTCAAGGTATTTTTAGAAAGTTCAGCTAAAAGGGAGGACCAATGTTATGAAAATGTCTAGTGCCATGTAAATGAATATGGATTAAAATATGGATAATAATGATTTTTATTCTAGTTACTACCTTTCCGTTAATACCTTTTCAACTTAATACATTTTAACTAGATTTTTCGTATAGCTATTTACTCAAAAAAAAAAAAAGAAAAGAAAACATGGGAACATTAAAAATTAAGGTACTAATGTTTTTATATTAAAATATCTATACATTTTTAGGATCTCATCACTGCTACCATAATCATTTTATTACATAATCTGTTGGTGAGCGAAATTCAAGGATCTTGTCAAAAAATTTATCTCATTAATTTTATTTGATCAACATTAATCCTTCATTGATTATTCTTAGCTTTTGGTGAGGCCCGTGGTCATCGAATAGATGGATGTGTGTACTTAAAGGATCTCAAAACTCGACCCATGAGAAGGTAAATTTTAAACTGGACTGTGAGTTGTATCTTATCCAAGGATCTTACTCCTTTAGTAGATTTCTTTCTTATCCTTTGCAGGTTTCTTAAATTAAAACCTTTGTTACACTCTCATTGTTAAATATAAAAACCAAAAGAAAACTAATATGCATATCATTAGGTCACTCTGCTGGCCATAACTGATTTTTGTGTTAAATATATTCAGAAGTTTTAGGAAATCCTAAAGAATGTTAATCATAGTTAAAATCTACCATTGTTACCCTGTCAAAAAATTCAGACATTGTCATCTCCTAAATTGAGCGTCATAGGGCATGGAAGAAATTATTTTGAACTGGAAAAGCTTTAAGTATACAGGTATTACCAGGCAGTCACCTTTACCATATCAGAGGAGCCTTGAGATGCCTCTCCTAAAATGGTAGTCTTTGACTTGGCGATATAGTAGATATAACTGGAGAATGTTTTAAAAAGACAGATTCCTAGGGCCCACCATTTAAGCTACTAATTTAATAGGTTTAGTGTGGTGTTTAGGGAGAGAAGTGTCAGGAATTTGATTTTTAAAAGATTCTCATGATTGGGAGCCATGTGCTAGACCATATACATTGACTAAGTAATTCATGGACTGCGAACCTTAGTAAACTGAAAAATGTACCCTTTAGTAAGTAAATGGTTTAACTTCCTTGATAGAACTCTTGATCATCATCTATTATAATAGTTTGAGATTGCCTTTTAGAAATAGCAGCTCAGGGTCTGACTGGGTCTGACTCTTGGTTTCAGCTGAGGTCGTGATCTCAGGGTCATGAGGTAGAGCCCCACGTGGGGCTCTGTGCTGAGTGTGGAGTCTGCTAAAGTTTCTCTCTCCCTCTTCCTCTGCCCCTCCTTGCCTCACGCGTGCTCACGCTCTCGCTCTCTCTCTCAAATAAATAAAGGAATCTTAGAAAAAATAGAAATAGCACAGTTTATTTTAATAGTAAATAGATAAAAGATGCATTTGCTTCTTGAGGTCTATACTGATTCATGGTACTAAGACTATGTATCATCATAGAGGAACATATTTTTCTTTGGTAAGAAATCCTTTGCCCACTTTAAAAACTACCTCAAGCAGGACACCTGGGTGGCTCAGTCGATAAGCGTCTGACTCTTGATCTCAGCTCAGGTCTTGATCAGGGTCGTGAGTTCAGGCCCCACATTGGGCAGAGCCTACTTAAAACAGACAGACAAAAAAAACCCCATCAAGCAGGGGCACCTGAGTGGCTCAGTTGGTTAAGCGTCTGCCTTTGGCTCAGGTCATGATTTTGGGGTCCTGGGATCGAGCCCTGAAACAGGCTCCCTGCTCAGTGGGGAGTCTGCTTCTCTCTCTTCCTCTGCCCCTTCCGCCCCTGCTCATGCTCTCTCTGTCTCTGTCTCTCTTTCTCTCAAATAAATAAATCTTAAAAAAAACTACACCAAGCAAGTTACCTAGACAAAAAATTTAAGATGGGCCAGGATACAACTTGCTTGTTTATTCACTTTGAGAGTGAAATTGAGTAATTCAACAAATATTCATCGAATATCTGATATATTCTAGGCACCATTCTGAATGCTGGGGACATAGCAGCGAACAGAACAGAGTAAAATATAGAGCTTATATTCTAGTTGCAGGCAAACAATTTAAATAAGTAAAATATGTAGCTTGTGATTCAGTGTTAATTACTATGGAAGAAAGTAAACCTGGAAAGGGGAATGGAGGATGTCAAGGTGATGGTGGGGAAGGTTGAGATTTAGAAGGATCACCAAGGAAGGCCTCACTAAAAAGGTGACATGTGACTAAAGCCCTGAAGGGAAAAAGAGAGCAATCCCTATGATTAGGTTTGACTTTTGACCCTACCCAGCGTGGACCCCGTTGTCAGCCATCTTCAATGTCCTTACCAGGACCCTAGATTTGTTCATTCCATTGACTTTCCATTTGGCCAGTATGGTAATTCCCAATTTTGGGAATTTTCAACAGCTTCCCTTCCTGAGCTGATAAGTATCATAGTCAAACTATATTAAGTTTAGCTATAAATTAAAATTATCTAATACTCCTTTACTGCTGATGTTTGTTAAACTAGACAGATTAAAGAAAAGTAAGTGGAGAGAAAATGCAAAGGTAAGAAAATGGGCAGTTAGAGACCACTTGTTAAAGAAATTTGGCAAGAAATGGAAAGAGGATAAACATCCATAGGAAACTGCAGGATCTGTTTGCTCATTACTATGACCATACAACAAATGTGAGTGATACTCTGACTAACCATTCCAGAATTTAAGCAATAATATAATATCTGCTATTCTGTGCTTTAAAGTCCTTTGCAGATTGTCTGCAAATACGAGACTAAGCAACATTGCCATCTTATAAAAACCACCAACTGACTGTGACCTACTTCCCCAGAGCCTTGGCCCTTAAGATCCTAGGATAACGTATGTAAATTTAAGCCAGAGACTACTGGTTGCAAAAAACAAGAGATGTAAAGCTGTGCCCAGACTGAACCGATGCAAGAGGAAGTTACTTTTGGAAAGACTTTGTAAGTTCTAAATTTGAAATAAAGACCCAAAGTCCCTTCCTATTTGTAGTTCCATCCCTCTCCTTAACCCAGCACTATAACTGTTCACATCCATATAAGGAGAAAGCAGTGTGGATTAGAGAGAATTTTTTTGGAGAGAATTTGCTGCCACCTTTACCTTTTTCCTGAAAATTCTTTGATCTGATCATGATTTGTAAGACTCTTGAAATTCATGTACCAAATAGGGAAAGTAGACATTATTTACTTATATCCTTGCCTTTAGAGACTAACTAAATTCAGAGTCTGAAGGTAATTTCTTATGAAATTCCTATGAATAAATTCAGAGTCTGAAGATATTTCTTTTTTTTTTTTTTTAAGATTTTATTTATTTATCTGATAGAGAGACACTGAGAGAGGAAACACAAGCAGGGGGAGTTGGAGAGGCAGAAGCAGGCTTCCCGCTGAGCAGGGAGCCCAATGCAGGGCTCCATCTGAGCAGAAGGCAGATGCTTAACAACTGAGCCACCCAGGCGCCCCTGAAGATACTTCTTATGAATGAAGATGAAAGCAAAATCTGAAAGTTTTCTGCTTCCCTTTGAGCTAATTGCTAATTCTTTTTAAAAAATAGTCTCATTATGATTAGCCATTCGTAAAAAGAGGGTATCTCTCGTTCTACTTCTTTTCACTATCCAGAATTCAGCTGGCTCACAGAAAATTCTACCTACTACCCTCCCAAAGGATTGTATTTATTGAGAACTTTAGACTTGGAGAAAGTAAAAACTTTCTTCCAAAGCTTTAGTAAAGTTTTTGTAGCCAACTAGATTACAGCTAAATACCTCCCTGTTGTGGGTGTGAGTGCTCACTTGATGTTTTTCTCATTAGATTCACAAACACCTAATCATTGTCTACTCCACCCTTCAAAGCTTAAGCTTTGAATACTTCAGAAACTCTTCACAGGGCATCATGACTATGGGCTTATTATTTTTTCTTGCCTTTTCCATTTGGGTCTTTGCTTCAGTGTGAACCTGGCTTGGCCCTAAAGATTGTACATTCTATAAAGGGCAGCAAACTGTTTCTTAAAGAGCCAGATAGTAAGTACTGTAGGCTTGCAGGCCATGTCGTCTCTGTTATATATCTGCCACAGTAGCCTTAAAACAGCCATAGACAACATAAACAAATAGGCTGTGTTCCAGTAAAACCTGTTTATAAAAACAAATTGCTTAGCTTCCTAACCCCTGTTCTAAACTGTTCCCATTTGCTGTGGGTTAATTTTATTTCCTTCCCTTGGTGCTGGAATAAAATACATCTGCACTTTGTCTTGTTATAACATGAAGAATATCCTATACTGTCACTTTCTCCAGGTTACTCTCCTGGTATCTACCTGAGCCTTCTAGATGTCTTAAATACCTGGCTCACATTATCTTTTTTTTTTTTTTTTTTTTTTGAGTTGAGATTCGTAAAACATGAAGTTAACCAGTTTAAAGTGAATGATTGCATGGTATTTAGTACTTTTACAGTGTTGTGTGACCACCACCTTTATTGAATGAAAAACATCTTCATCACCCCAAAAGAAACCCCATATCCATAAAGTATCTGCTTGCCATTAACCCCTTTCCCCAACTCCTGACAGCTACTGATCTGTGTTCTGTCTCTATGGGTTTACCTATTGATAATTCCTGTAAATGGAGTCATACAATAGACTGGCTTCTTTCACTTAGCATCATGTTTTTAAGATTCATCTATGTATAGCATATATCGGTACTTCATTTCTTGTTATGGCTGAGTAATGTTCCATTGTATATGTACTACAATCTGTTTATTCATCTGTTGATGGACATTTGGGCTGTTTCCACCTTTTAAACCTCACTTTTTATTTGTTTTTTTGTGATAATTATTTTTTTGTTTAAATTCAATTAATTAACATATAATGTATTATTAGTTTTAGAGGTAGAGGTCAGTGATCCATCAGTCTTATATAATACCCAGTGCTCATTACATCACGTGCCCTCCTAAATGTCCATCACCCAGTTTACCCCATCTGTTTCTACCTTTTTGCTATTGTGAATAGTGCTACTATGAATATATGTGTATATATATTTATTTGAGTACCCGTCTTCAATTTTTGGATTAATGGGTATGAGAGACCAGTGATTCTCAAATATGGCTATTTGGGGGTTACTTGAGGGCTTGTTAGATGTAGACTTCTTTAGCTCATCTATATCTGGTGGTGAATCAGAATGTCTGAAGAAGGACCTAGGAATTTTTTATGTTTTTTGAATGCATTCAGAATGATTTCTGTTGCCAATAGATCACATTTGAGAATCACTATAATAACAAGCTTAGGTTTCAGAATTGAAATTAATAGGCCAAATTGCTGAGCTAAAACCAATATGATGAGATTTATGGAGAAAGAGGTATAATCCTACAATTGTTGATTTTTTTTAAATTGCACTGACAAGATGTGGAGGCCTTCGTAGTTCAGAT